AAAAAAAAAAAAAAAATAACAATCTGACTTCACACGATCTAGCAATAGGTCTGACTTCACAAATAACGTTAAACATTAAAGTATTTGCTAATTTTCTCTTCCCAGGGTTACTTTTTATATCTATAGAGAAGTATTGTTGGGTTTGTAGCTGACAGTGAGGGTCTCCAACTGGTGAAACAATGCGTTTTAATCATTATAAGTAACATAGTTTGAACATTGTATCTAATTAACTCTGATCTACTAATAGGTATGTATTTTTCATTTTGATCTTTGTAGATAACCTGCTTAGATCAGATGTTGATGTTAATTCATTGAAACAGAAACTCAGTATTCGCGGAACCGAAATAAATGGGCGCTCGACTCGTAATCTGTGGGTCGCGAGATCGAAACCTGGTGCCGCACATACTTTCCCTTTCACCCTATGATATTATCCCACTGTTCTTTGGTAAAAAGTAGTCCAAGAGTTGGCGGTGTGCGATGTTGGTCGTTTGCCTTTCCTGTTGTCGGTACTTGAAATTAGAGACGGCCACTGATAGCCTTAATAGATTTCCCACAAATAAACAATCAAAGTTTTCATGACGTGAAAACTCGATATAGCCAAAGTTAATAATATTAATATCGATAAAATAACCAAAACCTAAAACAGTGGAAAATATGAGCTCGAGACTAATGTTGCATGGTCGGTGAACCCACTGTTGATTGCTTAAAAACGGATGTTTAACAGTCCGTCAACTTCACTATATCTGCTCGATACATAAACTTTTCCTCTTTTTGTACCCCAGTGGCACAGCGGTATGTCTGCGGACTTACAACACAACAAACCGAGTTTCGATACCCATGGTGGTCAGAGTACAAACAGTCCATTGTGTAGCTTTGTGCATAACTTCAAACAAACAAACAATCCTTTTTTTTAGCTGGTGTAAGCTTTTACTTATTACATTCCTGGCCCAGCATGGCCAGGTGGTTAGGACACTCGACTCACAATCTGAGGGTCGCAGGTTCGAATCCCCGTCCCACCAAACATGCTCACCCTTTCAGCCGTGGGGGCGTTATAATGTGACGGTCAATCCCACTATTCGTTGGTAAAAGAGTAGCCCAAGAGTTGGCGGTGGGTGGTGATGACTAGCTGCCTTCCCTCTAGTCTTACACTGCTAATTTAAGGACGGCTAGCGCAGATAGCCCTCGTGTAGCTTTGCGCGAAATTCAAAACAAACAAACTATTACATTCCCTTGACATTTCGTTATCTCCACAGTAACGACTTATTATATTTGTGTAAAGACGAAACGATTATTTTATTACGTTTCTTTCAGATAAGCCAGACTGTAATATTTCACATTACAAAAGTGAAGATAATGAGGAGAAGCTAATGTGCACTGCTCAAGCTAATCCTGTATTCGTCAACTTCACGTGGATGAAGAACAACGAAACGCTGGAAGATTTTGTTGTAGTAGAGGGAACCAGAAGCTTATTAATGTTGGGGAATTCTGGTTCGGGACGTCACGGAAAATATTACTGTATTGTAAACAACACAATTGGAGAGTCAATTCCGTGCACTTTGGAACTTAAGGGAGCATTAGGTAAGTTAATTGACGTGTTTGTAAGAATGCATGTAAGGAGGGAACTGCTTGCCAAGAAGTGCTTCAAATGAAATGAATTAAAAAATCGTTTATCCTATTTTGACTGTGGTTGGTTTAGATAAGTTTATTTCATATTTATTGTTAACTGAAAGGTATGTTATTAAACATTTTGATATTATTAAAACAATACACAAAAGTCAACATTATTTATACATACCTCGACGCCCCCCACCCCCAGTGGCACAGCGGTATGCCTGCGGACTTACAATGCTAAAATTAAGGTTTCGATACCCGTGGTGGGCAGAGCACAGATAGGCCATTGTGTAGCTTTGTGCTTAACTACAAACAAACAAACATACCTCGACTAACAATAGTATTAATGTTATTGTATTTTTAATGATGTTTTATTATTAACGTCCCCTCACAATTTTTCAAGAAGAAGAGTGTATAATAGTATTTTACGCACACTATATCCGCCATATTCATTACTGAAGACGCGTTTTGCTCAATAATTGATTCTAATCACGTTTCTCCACCAAAGGCGTTCACGCCATAACAACGGTTGTCTATCCACCACTAAACCAACGTGTGATACTCGCAATAGCGTGAGAACGTGAATTAATAATACTAACAATACTACTGAACGATTACAACAATGTTTTATAGCGATTACGAAAACAGGTAAATATAATCAAAATTTACATATGTTTGTATTCATAAAAAACCAGCATTCGCTAGCTGACAACAATAACAAAAAAGAATTGTTGCACAAAATAAATGAGATGAAGAAAAGTCCTCAACAAAACTCACATGACATGACTGACTTAATGACGTAATGTGAAGAGAGATATATACATTGAGATACACTAGAACTTGTGATTTCATTATAACAATTATTTCAAATACACATACACGCATATACACAGTAGGAAAGACCGCGAGACGTGGAAAAATAATGAAATAATAATAAAGGCTTTTAAAATAATAAAACACGTGTCCATGATAAAAACTTCATATTTATTTCCAACGTTTAGGGCAAACGCCCTTAATCAGGCAGTTTAAACCGTGTTACATAGAAAAAGAGGCTTAGACAGAATATTAACTCTGATATTCTCACCCTTCAACGATTCTATAACACGACTGCCTGACAACTGTCCGCAATTTTTTTCCTTTGAATAGTATAAACCAATCTTTCACCTCTTTACGTTACCTGAGTTATTTTGTGTTATGATTTTCTTCATCAATAAATCAGTTTCGCCGTTTACGTATGTTTCTGTTCCCTCTCCTAACTTCTAGAATTCACTGTAAAAAGAGTATTGTTCTATAACGTCTAGGGATCATTGTAAAAAAATATTGTTCTATAACGTCGAGGAATCATTATAAAAAAGCATTGTTCTATAACGTCTAGGGATCATTGTAAAAAAATTATTGTTCTATAACGTCGAGGAATCATTATAAAAAAGTATTGTTCTATAACGTCTATAGATCATTTTAAAAAAATTATTGTTCTATAACGTCGAGGAATCATTATAAAAAAGTATTGTTCTATAACGTCTATAGATCATTTTAAAAAATTATTGTTCTATAACGTCTAGGAATCATTATAAAAAAGTATTGTTCTATAACGTCTATAGATCATTTTAAAAAGTATTGTTCTATAACTTCTAGGAATCTTTGTAAAAAAGTATTGTTCTATAACTTCTAGGGATCATTTTAAAAAGTATTGTTCTATAACTTCTAGGAATCTTTGTAAAAAAGTATTGTTCTATAACTTCTAGGGATCATTGTAAAAAAAGTATTGTTCTATAACGTCTGTAGATCATTTTAAAAAAGTATTGTTCTATAACTTCTAGGGATCACTGTAAAAAAAGTATTGTCCTATAAATTCTAGGGATCATTGTCAAAAAGTACTGTTATGATCCTTCAAGAATATTATTTAATATTGGTAAACAATTAAAAAAATACACGATAAAACCTTAGCTCTTTCGAACAACGGATTTGTGTTCTTCATGGGTGTCCCCGGGTAGCTCAGTGGTAAATTTATAACGTTAAAATTCAGGTTTCGATACTGGTGGCTAGAAGAGCACTGATAGCTTATTTTGTGGCTTTGCGTTTAGCAACAAACAAACCTTCACAGGTAAAGTAGTTTTAATTACCTTTTTTTCACTTTTAGGGGTCTCTCGTGCATTGTTTATGGTATGGATCGTTTCAACAGATCAATTAGACCAATTCGTGTGATATAGGCCTAAGGCCAAAAATGACTTCTTATTTTATTTTTCTTACAGCTAGATATTATATGATATTTTGTAGAATATTTTTCTGTTCCCTTACTGCCAAAAGCTGACGGTAATATTGGGTAACATTTACTGATAGATAGATTTGTAGGATGATAATTATCTATTTTGTTGCTTAACACAAGTCACAATTGAAGCCGCAATTACAAAAGCCGAAAAACATGTATATATAAATTAAGTGTTCTTGTAAAAGATCACCGAAAAAAACAACCTCTCTGACACTTTGCAGACATTCAGAGAGGCATTTTAATCAAACCGTACTGTTCAGACTTGTCGGTTTCGTTTCATTTCACGAACAACAACAAAACGTTCTCATCCCAGTTCAACCCGTAGATGAGATCATACAGAACTGAAACTAAACCTAATGGATGAGGGCAACTAGAAACTAAGAAAAATTATTCAGATATAATTATGACACTTTCGATCACGGTAACACTAAGAAATTTCTAAAACTAAATGTTTTAGTATTTCTTTCTTTCGTCTATAAAATTGCACAGATGAAGTTGTGGGTTGTGAAATCCCCACTTTTTAGATAGAAAGGACCTAACATTATCAGATTAGATAATATAATTATTGTTACGTCTCTGTTTGTTAATTAACTTTCCGTAACTTTGTTCCGACAAAACTTAAGAGACACAAGTGCTTTCTTGATAAAACTGGTTTATTCTTTCTGAATATAACTTTACCGATACACTCAACTTCAACAATCGCGCTAAAACAACGCTATAACGAACTTCAACAATACTCTGACTGCAGATCAATTACTCACTGTCTACACACACATTACCGCGTCACGTTGTCCCCCTCTTTTATATACCCGACTACCCTATATCTAGTAAATACTAGAGCATTCGCCAAAGTACAGGATAGTTCTAGAAACGTGGCGTCACAGTAGTCATGTGACTCGCTGACGCAACATTATGTTGCCACTTCTTCTTGGAATCGGACGACACTCAAATTCGGAATACTCCAGCTACTTATTTTAAATTATTTAAACATCTTTATGACCTGAGTGTATGAAAATTTTGCGTCGGAAAAGCGTGTTACACACTCTTCCCAAAAGCGATATATTTTTCGGTGGCATTAAACTACCTACGTAACGCCAAACAATGTCAAAATGTTGTTCTGATACATGCCGATCAACCTCCACTTTACATCTGCTGTGGTTGTCACGTGACTTGCTGATTTTCGTATTCCAAATAGTTTTAATATAACGTATTTAACCCTTTGTTGCTATATGAATAAGCCAATGATAAACGTAAAAGTCAAGCTTACACAGCTAAACTGATTCAAAACAACGAATCTTTCACAACACTATCGAAATAAAACCTAAAATAAGTTTTTACTTAAAAACAAAACCCTCGAACACGGAGAATCTTGATGTGAAAAGGAATCCTCCTGATAGTTTTTCCTTGTCCTGGGCTATTCTGATATTTCAAACCTACTACAAGACGCTACCTCTAGATAGTCCTGATGCCCCAAACTAATCCATATTCCCTTGTATTCGATGATTCTAACCTACTACAAGACGCTACTTCTAGATAGTCCTGATGCCCCAAACTAATCCATATTCCCTTGTATTCGATGATGCTAACCTACTACAAGACGCTACCTCTGAATAGTTCTGATGCCCCAAACTAATCCATATTCCCTTGATTTCCAATGAACTTAATATCCCCGTCTTGGAAATCCTATATCTCCGATCTGAAAGAATCATCGAATACAAGGGAATATGGATTAGTTTGGGGCATCGGGACTATTCAGAGGTAGCGTCTTGTAGTAGGTGAGAATCATGGAATAGAAGGCCGTTCACGTGGCTCAAACAACAGTATGTAACGTAATCAAGAAGGTCACGTGACAAACAAGGTGTAGGTTCACCAAGATAAAGCTTCTGATCATACTTCTCGTTCAACCGTCGCATACCTCAAGCTACTGGTGAGTTAAACGGGCATTCATGCTATGTCTTTCGAAGACATACCAATCAAGTCGCCTGACGCAGAGATATGGATTTATTTGCAATCGGACTGTTGAAACGGGAGCTGAATAACCGACGTACTCATAAACTAGATTTCTTATGGAAAGCATTCAGAGAGGCCCGTATGCTTTATACGTGGCAGTCTAACGATGGAGCTTTTTGCAAAAGACGTTAAGCAACAGGGTTATTGACAAGGGTTACTACTGTCAGATAGAGTATGACTGGACGTGGTGACACGGTCTCTAACAACGTAATGATTGTCACCAAATCGTTTAAAAATAATGTACTCAACCATTGTATTCCGCGTAGAAAACATAATTATACATAGTTTTCATACGCAAAACATGCTTCTCAGCTAAAATATGAGAAGAAGAAGAATAAAGCAATAAGCTACATGAATATAACAAGTAGTTGGTTGGGCTAGCCGTAATATGTCAAAAGTTCTTAAACAATTGACGCTTAATTTAAAAGTGTCTTTAAATTGGTAGATTAAACATGTTGTAACAAATTGGTAGATTAAACATGTTGTAACGACACCTTTAAATTGATGGATTAAATATGTTGTAACGACACCAAAGGTGTCGTTACAACATGTTTAATCTACCAATTTAAAGGTGTCGTTACAACATGTTTAATCTACCATTTTAAAGGTGTCGTTACAACATGTTTAATCTACCAATTTAAAGGTGTCGTTACAACATGTTTAACCTACCAATTTGAAGGTTTTTCATATTAATGCGTACAATTAACAAAACGCCAACAAGTCAATAGAAAATATTAACTACGTATTTTAAAATAAAGATTTATGCAAGGCTATCTTATAAAAAATAGCGCATATTTATTCAGTCTATTTAGCCGTATATTTTAACTCCTCAGGTACGGCAGGATGGCATGGAGATGAAAATATCATTATAATTGCTGCCGCTGTCGCTGCTGTTATTGTTCTATTAATCATCATTATCATCATTATCATCTTGTTGATGAAAAGAAAGACTCGCAGTAAGTGTTTATTGTATATAAATATATGTATGTAGTTGATAATGCTCTGTTGTATTCATGTGTAAAGTGACGTTATCATATTCTAGTTATCTCCATTTTTTTACAACTAAAAATTTTAATTAAATACTATTTTACAATAATGAAAAGTTTTAATTGAATGATGTGTAAATAATTGAAGAGTTTCGAAACATTATCCTTATCATGTTAATTCACTTAATCCAATATCAAACCGAATATTTCTGATATCAATTTGTTTTTCATGGCTGAGTATCAAAAACTGTAAAAATGTATTAGGAAATTTACTGACTTTACCTGATTGTAAATTACGAGTATTCTTGAACATGTTTATCGTGTGAATTTATATAAATATTAATGTGCATTTCATTGAAACCAGTGCCTTTGTTCTGGATTCACCAGAATAATGCTTTTACTGGCAATGCTCAAGTCTTCATGTCATATATCTTAGGGACGTAGACAACTACACATAAATATATTTTGATGTATCTTGGTTATTGGATTCAACTATAAATAATGTTTTATACAGTTTAAGTGATAAACATTAAGAATTATTTGTTATATTTGTTTAATTTCCCTCGTTATTTTGGTAGAAGGTATCGGATTACCTTTAATAAACCAAATGAACTTCAATAGTAATAGACCTGACTTGGTAATTTTGATAGAATATAATAGAATAGAATGATATTTTTGACAAAACACGAAAACAACGTTTCGGGCAACAGTATTTCATCAGGTTT